TATTATATATTATTATATTATATATAATACATATTACATATTATATATTATATACATTATATACATTATTATTATATATTATTATATATATTATTATATATATTATTACATATATTACAGATATTATATTATTATATTTATATAGTATACATACTATTATTATATATCAATTATTATTATTATCATAATTATTATTATTATATATAAATATTATATATATTATATTCTATTATTATATATATTATATATTATTATATTATATCATATTATAATATTGTATATAATATTAATAATAATATAAAATCATAATAATAATAATAATAATAATAATAATAATAATAATAATAAGAAGAAGAAGAAGAAGAAGAAGAAATAAGAAATAAATAATAATAAATAGTTCATCTTACTCTTTTTTCTCTCTTATGTCATTTATTTCCTCAGCTCTTTCTGGAAAGAGAAATTAAGGACGGAAAATGATACTTGATATCGTTAAAGTCTATTCGACACTTTAAATAATAAACCTGACTACTCGAACCAAAGTGTCCGTTGCTTTTTTTTTCTTTTTTTTTCTTATATCCATTAATTCCTTTTCGCGCCAAGTACTGTGTTGCAATCTTGACCCTTACAACAAACTTTGCCATTACTGTGTAACTGGACGCAATTAAGCTTGGTAAAGAGTATGAAAATCTTTGCTGTTTCTGTTTAGACTATAAGACTGTCATGGGAATATCGGTTTGTCTAAGTGCTTATTCGCTCATTCTCTTCTTGTTTAAACATCCAAACATACCGGCTAACAGGCATATCACATGGAAACACCGGTTCTCGAACGATCACCGAAGTTAAGCAACATCAATACCTAGAAAGGTGACTGCTTGAGAATATCAGGTATTGTAAGCTTGGATGTTCGAATGGTGTAATGGATGACGGCTCAGCTTTAGAAATCGGCGAGCCGAGTTCCAATCACAGACGGGATCGTTACATTCACTTACGCGTAAATACCCTTGGTAAAGGTATAAATCTATCACTTTCTCTCCCAGCTATGGATTAATTAGTAAAACTAGTATCAGTAAAAATCATTATTAGTTGATTTTCGAATTACTCGTTTAATGTTCAGTACATCACTGTACTGTATAGACATTTAGAAATAAATTATAAATGTTACAAATGCTGTAAAGTGCTATTAAAACTATCTCAAGCTGGTTGACACAAATGTGGAGCGTGCCTGAAATAGCGGTCAAGTAAAACTTCTCGTTTAGTGATTATGTCATTGGAAATGATCCGGGTTGAGGGACTGTATTTCATTTAGTTGTCATAATACAAAATAGAACTGGCAAGAAGAATTTAAAAAGAAAAAAGAAACGTTGTTGATAAACGATTCCTCAAAGTCAAATTAATTTTGTGATTCCATTGAAACTTGTAGCTATTTTATACAGATACCACCACAGAAAACGCGATACCAAAGGTTTAAAATGATTTTTTTAAATGGAAAATCTTTCTTGAAACTTTTATTTTAGATTTCATTTCAAGCTAACAGATTAAATTTAATATTTCCCATGAGCAAAATACTTTGCTGTATTTCAAAAACTAATTTAAATTGACTGGAAGAATTTTTTTGTTTTGTTTTTGTTTGTTTTTTTGTATTTTAGTTTTTTTTTTGTTTTTTTTTTCTAAAATAGCTGATTCGCGCCTTTTTTAGTCGTCTCTCATTGCAATGTAATTCTCGTTATTAAAAAACCTTCCAAAAATAAAATATACGTTTCTAAAACTTCATTTAAGGAATATTAGTTGATTTAAAGTATAATTAATCTGATTTTAAACAAATATTATTTACTTGAAGTTTCGAATATTGCAGAAATGCATGTTTTTAACACAGCGGTAGCCATTTTCTTAAGCTGTTGACATGTATGATTGATGTTTATCGAATGTTGTTCTATGGAGACTTTGACCGTAAAAATAACTGAATGTAACATGGTCGCTATTTATATATAATTTTAAGTATTTAGTAATCATAAAAATTTAAGAAAATATTCTCCGTAGGCTAATTTTTTATTGAATTTTAGTTACTTTCTGGCTTTAAATTTACTAGATTTATCGCTCTTAGGTTCTGATAATGCCGTGTATGAGTGCCCGTATCTACAAAAATCGGCACGTTTATACATATATAAAAAATCAAAATTCTTTTAAAAATATTAGTGTTTTATATACAAAAAAAAAAAACCGTATTTAAATATTTTAAACAATAACCAAACTAAGCCGTCATTAGAACCATACGTGAAATTTTTAGCAGTTTTGGAGATTAGAAAAAGGAATTTAGCATCGTCCAAGTATTTTCTTTATACGAGAATTAAAATGTCGAAAATTAAAAAAAACATCGATTTTCTAAATAAATTAAATTAATATAATCATGGCTGGCTTACCATCCCAAAGCCTAGTGTATTTGTAAAATTCTCAGTAATTATGTAAATAATGTAGCGGGTGCAGTAGTAACAGTCGACGGAAAATGTGACATCAATCAGTTGTGTGCCATGCATGATACACGTATAGGTAATTATGTATCTTTCGATACATGACTGACGAGACAGATTTTTTTTCCGCAGTAGATTGCCATTTCTTTCTGCGGTAGACCAGTTGCCATCTAATCTGTAGAAACCGGTCTGTGTTGCTATTTACCGATAGCTGGGGAGGTGGGGGGAGAAGAAGAGGATTCATACCTTTTCCAAAGGAATTAGTACGTAAGTGAATGTAATGGATTCGACTGGAATTCGAACCCGGCTTTCCTATTCCTCAATCCGAGCCGCTATCCATTACTCCACCGTATGTGACATAGTGATCCGAAATGACGAAGAAATGGCGAAATATGTCTTCCACAAACTAAGCAAATTATCTAACCATAGGAAAATATCGTTAGAAATCAAAAATACATTATTTACATTATTCAGACTATTGTTCTCATCTTTGTCGCCATATTTATTACAACGTTTCGGTCGTTGTACGCTCCGGCCTTCTTCCAGTGGTCGAAATGTCGAACTGAACCCTTTATTTCGCTCACTGGGGTAGACTTTTCTAGTTCCACTTGCCATGTTTAATGGATGTCAGTTATCAGTTATCTCCTGTTAATTTTCCCTCTTTATTCACTGTGCCATGTGTCCTCAAGGACACATGGCACAGTGAATAAAGGCGTTGGTTGGATCCAGTGACAGGACCCAAAGAGTGTGAGTTCAATACCCGGTTAAGGCAGTGGAGAACTTTCAGATGGAAAATTAACAGGAGATAACTGATAACTGACATCCATTAAGCATGGCACGTGGAACTAGAACAGTCTAGCCCAGTGAACTAAAGGGTTCAGTTCGACATTCCAACCACCTGAAGGAGCGTACAACGGCCAAAACGTTGTAATAACTATGGCGACAAAGATGAGGACAATAGTCCGAATAATGTAAATAATGTACATAATAGCTCATCTCAGAAATATAGACAAATCAAAAATAGTACTGAACTACTATGTGATTCCATATGATAGTGAATGTCGGGCAATTTTCATGACAGAAAAAGAATGGACTTAAAGCGACAGAGGTGTGGCTCTACCGACGAATGCTAAAAAATGATGGACGGAATATCTGAGCTACAAAGACCTGTTAAGAAAAGCAGAAATTGCAAGGAAACTTATACTTACGATCAGAGCGAGAAAGTGACACAGAGTGAGTAAAGATGCCAAGAAAATGTAACACTTACAGGACATATCGAAGGCTCTCAAGAAAAACGGCGAGGAACCTATTTAACGACTCTGTACGAAGGTGTTGCGGAACAAGGACACAAAGTGATAGTAAACGATCATAAGTTATTTGGAGCAACAAAAAACAATAAGTTGCGCAGAATTATGATTCTCTGCATCCTAAAAATAAAGAAAGAAAGAAAGAAAGAAGAAGAAGAAGAAGAAAGAAGAAGAAGAAGAAGAAGAAGAAGAAGAAGAAGAAGAAGAAGAAGAAGCATTAGGAGCATTAGGAAAGCGGGCCAAGAGAATTTAACACTCACAGGACATATTGAAGGCAAGATAAGCAAGAGCAGCAACAAGTAACTTACTTCATGAATTTGAGTAAATCGATACCAAAAATGGGTCAAAGGGGGTTTGTTAAAGTGTCAAAAATGACTTAGAGCCGCCAAAGACAGGAAGTTGTGGAGAGTCATGATCGCATATAAGAAAAAGGATAACTCATATTCTTAGATCACAGGAGCTATGAGTGTGGTGATTTTTATGCGTAGCTTAGATGTGTCACAAGGTCGAAAGTATGGTGCACCCAGTGAGGATCAAACTCATTATTCAAGGAATATGACTCTAAAATACCTGAATTTATTCTATTTTAAGATGAATTAGGGCATCGCAATGACACTGCTGTATTATCAAGTTCTATGCCTGGTTATAAAATATCATTACAGAAGGCATGAGCTTAAGTGTCCCTGAATGTCACTGTAAGTGAAGGTAGTAAACAAGCCCTGGTAGCAGACACGAGCTCCACCACGAAGGAAGGCACATTGCTTCGCGGAGAAAAATAGAACTAGAAATAGAAAATAAAGATTAAATTAATCTAGAAAGATTATGTTCCGTCAATCTTCCAAAACGGGAAATTCGAAATGCTGTCTTTTATGTGTGTTCGACAAAGCGGCTTCTGTCATCAGTGGTTACAATGGAAAGGATTTCAGAACTGAGAATAGTTGAATGCTTATGGCTCTGTAATAAACAATCAAAGCCTCAAGCATATGAAACGCAACGCACATTGCACGTGGCTGGCCAATAGTCATCCCCACTTATCTGCCGACGTAATTGTAACCCTGTAAGTGTGAGATCTTCCGGTTTAGCCGGTTGATATAACCTGGGTCACTTGAGAATGTACTATTCTCCTTTAGACGGAGAAATTGTGCTTTATAAAGAGAAGTGAGCATCAACGAGAAGAGAAAACACACACACACACACATATATATATATATATATATATATCAAGTGTTTAGACACGTGAATACAAATTAGACAAGATAGATAGATAGATGAATGATAGATAGATAGATAAATAGATAGGGAACATGCTGAAGGATAGATAGATAGATATAGATAGATAGATAGATAGATAGAACAGATAGATAGATAGATGAGATAGATAGATAGATAGATAGATAGATAGATAGAATGGAACAGATAGATAGATAGATAGATAGATAGATAGACTAATAAGAACATGCTGAGATAGATAGATAGACTGAGATAGATAGATAGATGATAGATAGATAGATAGATAGATGGATAGATAGATAGGAACATGATGATATGATAGATAGATAGGAACAGACTGAGATAGATAGATAGATAGATAGATAGATAGATAGATAGATAGATAGATAGATATAGGAACAGACTGAGATAGATAAATAGATAGATAGAGCAGACTGAGATAGAAGGTCGAGCAATAAAATGATTTAATATAAATTAACTGACAATTACAGAGAAGTCTGCTCTCAATGATTTTTTAGGCTGAGTCTTAAATAATTTCTGTTTTTGTCTGTCAACGAAGAAGAATTACATTTTAATCCTTTATATATCCACCATTATTTGCAATGACTTGTTGCCACTTATCAGGCAACTCTTCGACTCAAATTCCTCAGGTTCTGATGCGAAAATGTTTTTTGGCGAACTCTTGAATTTGGATTTCATGAGAGAAAATCTTTCCCCATCAAAGAATTTTGCAGCGATCAAAAAAAGGTAACAACCGGTGAGATGTGGTAGTAAATGGCTATAAAGAGGTAGGAAATTTTCTCTAGGAATTTTATGGTTAAGTACACATACGTTTATCCTTACTAGAAAGACCCGTGAAAAGTTCACGGGTTTCCAATTTAAATTTTCTGATGAATCTTAATTCTTAACTCTTAAATTAATGATTGAATAAGCTCATAGCGAACCCTACAACAAAATATTCTTAGAAATTCCCCAATCGCATCGTTAAATATTTGAGCTTAACAACTTTAAAAAAATATTGCTATAACAATCATAAATATGACTGCTGGTCGTTATTTTAAGAAGTGGATAGAAATTAAAAGATTTGAAATTGACAACTTTTTCCATTGCACTGAAACAGCCATTAAACTTGTGTCTTTTCTCCACTTTCCACGCGATCAAAACGGGATAGTCCATTATTTATGAGATAATGACAGATGCTAAACACTTCCCTTCTTTCTTTCTTTCTTTCTTTCTTTCTTTCTTTCTTTCTTTCTTTCTAGCCAAATCGTTGTCCTACGAACAATAATAATTAATAATAATAATTAAATTATGCATCTGTAAAATGGCACATTTATCACTGACGCCATCAGACTTGGCCTTTTGAGTAACAAAAAAATTGAGCCACTAACCGAAATACCTGTCATCAAAGCCGTTATTTAAGGTAATTTAGGATATTCTATCTTTTTAGTTTGGCCTCTTTGGGGATTTTTTCTGTTTTAACTTAGCTAAGATATACAAGTGCATAGGTCTCCCACTGTTTTTGTCCTTCATTTTTATTTTTATCTTTCCCATCCCATCACCTGTTAAGTGACAGATCTTTTGATTCTCTGGTGCTATAAGAGATTTCTTTTCGTTTTTTCCGAGTCTTATTTTTCGCCCAGTTAACTAAGATCTTTTGCCACATGTGGCGTTCATTTAAGGGTATGTGGGACAAATACTAATACAGTTTTTGTTTAGTTACTTGTACTTACGTTTATTTTTTATTATATAAATTCATTGGATTCTGATTTTTGCCCCTCCCCGAGAATTGTACAAATAAAAATTTCATGTTAGGACTTTCATTGACGAAATGAAATATTTTGGTGACTATGGTAATGTTTTGGTGATGTGTCGTTATCGTGAAAGGAAAATTGTATTTAAGAATAGCTCAACGAGTGGGACTAGCTTATTTATGTTAAGATTGAAGGAGGCAAGTTTTCAATTTTAGCCCTTGTGATACATTTTGTAACTTTTGTGCAAATAAATATTAAGATCAAAGTGTAGTATATGTTCTCATCAGCTTAATCTGATTCTCTTTCTCTCCACTTGTATCCTCCCTTTATTTTATTTTTATTTTTTTCATCTCCTCACTGTAACCAAGCAATGTCTTCCCTCCTCTTTCCACGCGATTAAAACGCGGAATACTCCATTATTTATGACGTACTGACAGGACGTAATGGTGGCGCTAACTGACGAAGAGGTGGACTTGCACAATTGTATTAGGATGATGATGGTGATTATTATTATTATTATTATTAATACTAAAACTACTAATAATAATAAATTACTAGAGAAATACATTGCAGCTAATTTTACTATTTTTAAATTGAGTTCACCGCAAGCAAGGCAGTAAAGCCACTAAGACACAAGGGGTTACTATGTATGGAAGAATTAAAAATCAGAAACATTAATAAGGAGGGAGAACCAAAGAAGAGTAATCACAAGGAGAGTAGCGAGCGATTGATATTGCATTTAAAGATTAAAGTTACTGGAAAACATGGAGCCGGAATGGTATTCCACAAGCGAGAAAAGAAACTGTTAGCATAGAACTTAGAATTATATCTAGCCATCTTAGCTAAAAATTGATGAGACCTAGTTGCCAATCTAGTACTGCGTTTAAATTCATAAAGTCTAGGTACCATAACGAAGAGCCTATCCGAACACTTAACATGAAAGTATTCATATAAAAGACACAGGGATGCAACCTTACGTTGGTGGGAAACTGACTGAAGCTGAGATGCCAGATCAAGTCCAGTAATATTGCTGATTCTTATTTGGATTTTATCAAGGAGGTCTAGATAAATAGCAGGAGCACCGGCCCATATGAGAAAGCAATATTCTAAGCATGGACGGATGGTAGACTTATAGATATGTAAGATAGATTCAGGAGAGAAAAACTGTCTAGCACAACCAACTTTCGTAGCAGAAAACCTACCAACTGATTCAATATAATCTTTCATGTCAGTTGTGAGCGTTTGCCCGAGAAGGCACAACGAGACACTCTCCTGGTGGTCAGCATCAGCCATACTGATGGAAGTCAGGGAGGGGTCTCTCAGATGGTTAATAGGGAGCAGTTTAGTTTTAGAGGCGTTAAAGTTAACAAGCCATCATTTTCCCCAGTTAACAACGGACGGAAGGTCGTTTTATAGTATACCACTTATTCTTTTCTTTTTTTCATCAAGTCCACTCCATACCAGGCAGTAAAACCACTAAGGCACATGGTATCACTGTGTACCCATATAAAAGGCACAGGATGGTAGTTTACTGAATAAAAAAAAAGAAAAAAAAAAGATTATCAGTCACTAGATATTTATTATAGACTAGCAGTAGAGCCCGGCGTTGCCCGGGGATATAACAGTAAGAGATAGATCAAGTATCGACCATCATAAAGACTGAAAAATAAAATTGACAAAGATTATTGTTTAAGGTTGACGGACACGCATGTCTTAATTAGTTTTTTTTTTTTTTTTTTGACAAATTGGTCAAACCCAAACTCAAACAAAAACATTGTTTTCAATCGTTAAGAGTCTACTGATTGAATAGAATTTTATTATAAACAATTGTCTTTCTTGTAAATGGAATTTTTAAAGCATTCTGAATGTTAAAAGTAAAGAAAAATGTGTGCAAGAGAATAAGAAAGAGTACCTGCCAAAAACAAAGTGAAGTTTTGTTTTATCGGCTGAAAAATATAGGAAATCCGATGTGAGTTGTCCCCCTTCCATTTTCACGATGTCTCTTAATCGTGTTTTCAAATTGATTTTCTGCAAAAACAATTATATTTTTCCCATTTTTGGCGCTGTTAGAACCACCACAAGGTAATTTTATGTAGTCCTGTGAAGTTTTGTTGAAATCGGTTGAAAAATGTAGGAAATCCGATCCAATATATAAACGTACAGACACACACACACACACACACACACGCGCGCGCGCGCACACAATCTGCGTTTTATAATAAGTAAGATATTCATTGAAATACAAGAAAAATGAATGTTCACTGGTCAGGAATTAATGCAAGCGTTTCAGATAAAAAAGGAATTAGTGTCTAATGACCAGACTTAGAGTTGTACGCCATCTTTCACGTGAATAAGATCTTGAGTGTTAACAGACAAACCAGCGTCTACACGAGCGTTCACTATGGTTACACTACTTATTGCCGCCCTTATAACAGGCTCAAGTGCATTTCTCTCTGATGGCCATTGAAGGTCAATTGCTAATAATCTCCGCCATAACGAAAACACATGACGTGCTCCTTGGCTGATGACAGCGTATTCCTCATGGAGAATGAAATGATCTTTCATCTCTCTTGTATTAACGTCAACTAGCAAGATTGTTTTCCTTTCTTCCGTTTTCAATAGTGTCTCTCTGTCAAAACTAACAATGAATATAGAAGTCAAGGCAAGTAAAATAATAATGAAAGATCTGAGTATATGCTTATCATCTTATCGACGAGCTATTTTCACTGGTTCCCAAACTGCATGAATTTAAGCGTGCTACTAGCTTGGCATCTCAGCCCCACCCTTTCACTGTCGAAACGGTTAAATGTAACCATCTCTTCTACTTCAACAGCTTCTTATCTCGCACCTCTCGTCAGTGGAACTGCCTACGTATCACTTGCTGTCTGATAGCTATAATCTTCAAACATTCAAATGTAATGTCAATCGATATCTTCTGATGCCTTGACCTTGATCCCTGTCCTTCTCTTTATCCTTTTCCCAAACACTCCTCCTCTTTACTCTTACTCTCACTCTCTGTAACCCCTTGTGCACTAGTGGCACTCCCGCCTTGCTTAGGGCGATTAGCTTAAAAAAATATCATTGGGCCGTATCTTAATTAAACATGTCCCATCAAGCAAGATAATAATAATAATAATAATAATAATAATAAACAATTGACGTAACTCTTCCAAAATTGTTCCAGAAGAGCGCGATTTAAGAAAAGAAATCGAAAAAGAAAAAAAACCTCAGTGTTTGAGACTATTGGACAATATTTCGACAGTATGTCTGTCTTCTTCAAGTTATATCTTTTTTCTAAATTTTCAAGTATAAAACTATATAAATCTACAAAAACTTATAAGTCTTTGTACAAACATTGTTTGTCTTGTAATGAAAAATCGACCGTCCTGGTAATGAAGGCGTCAAAACGAATGAAACGCCACCAGCGTCATACAACTAAAACGTGTGTAATTTGATGGCGATCTTGTTAAGCTTGGAATTTTCCGTTTGTTTATTAGTTACTAAGATAAATTAATCATACAGTTTAGTATATATGAGCTCTTCGATATGGTACCTAGACATTATGAATTTAAGCTCAATACTAGATTAGCGACGAGGTTTCATCGAATTACAGTTGAGTTGGCTAGATGTAACCGTAAGTTTTATGCTAACAGTTTCTTCTCTTAAAATTCTAGTTTGTG